TGCTAACATACTCAATAGCCATGATTTTCCATCATTATTTAAGTGCTGCATGCTGCTGTGCATTTGTGTCTGTCCTGTGAGGCAGGAGTGGGTGGCAAGTGGGTCTTGGACTCTGAACTCCGATGTGGATCCCATGTACCATGGCCTCCATTCACCCTACCTATCTAAGCACCAGGGGACAGTAGGCTGGTGAGGAGCTGACAGATGTGATGTGCCTGGCTTCCCTTCAACTTATCACTTGTATTTACCCAGGGGCTGCTCTTTTCTTCCTACTCCCAGTTTGCTTGCAGAAGTCAAACATGTTATTTAAATAATATTTTATTTCCTTAAATACATAGTTTAACCAAGGGCATAATTTTACACCTCTTGGAAAATACTATTCAATCCATGTAAGCATTAGGCTTTGCTAGTGTGAAAGCTCTGCTTCTCAGTATCAGACAATGAGTTAAATGAGTTTCACACCATGACCTCACTCAACACATTCTTCCATTTCTGTGTAAGGATTTCAGGAAGCCCTTAGTCATGGTGGGATAGTCAAGATTAAATCCTTACTAATGATTGAGAGGCTTACTAAGGCAGCTCAACCAAGTGCTTAGGAGTGAAAGGCTGAGGAGGATGTCAGGGGTTTGACTCTGAGTCAGGCCTGGATAAAGGCTATAATTTTGGTTGCATGGAGTGGGTCTAAACTGGAGGCCTGGAGAAGATGCTGCCATAGGTGCCAGTGTCTCTCCTGACAAAGTATCATTGTGTTCAGAGGTTTTGAAGTTTCAAAGTTCCAGCCCTATAGCATCTGATTAACACGTGCCCCAGAGGTCACTTTCACTACATTAGTTCCAGGCTGACCTGGAAGTACCAGGCAGACAATCAGACATGGCAGGGAAATGAAGGGCATCCAAACTGGAAAGGAAAAAGAGAAATCCTTATGATTTATGACATTATCTTATGTACAGAAACCCCCGAAGATTCTGTCCACAAGCTATTGGATCAAATAAATTAATTCAGGATTATTGCAGGATACAAAAATCAATATGCAAAAATAAGCAGCATTGCTTTACACCTATAACTAACTGTTTGAAATGAAAATCAGGGAGGCAATACTATTTCCAAAAGCCACAAAAATAAAATATACAGGAATAAATACAACCAAAGAGAAGTAAAGTTTTTTATAATGAAAACTAAAAAATGTTGATGAAAAAATTGAAGAGGATAAAAAAATATGAAAAGATATCCCACGTGCATGGATTGGAAGAATCAAGGTTTTCAAAATATTGATATTAACTCAAGAAGTCTACAGATTCAATTTCTTTCACGATATCAATGACATTCTTCTCAGAAGTAGAAAATATAATCCTAAAATTTGTATGGAAATTGACACATATGTGTACAAACACACACACACATACACACATTAGTCAAAGCAATATTCAGCAAAAACAAAAAGCAGGAAGCATGATATTGATATGGAAACAGACATACAGACCAATACAGTAGAATGGAGAGTCTAAAATTAAACCCATGCATGTACAGATCCTTAATTTTCAACAAGGCTGCTATACTGAATGAGCATTTTCACTCTTGTTTACTGCAGCTATAGTCACAACAGCCAGGAAATGTAAAAAGAAAACCAAGTGTTCCTTAACTGATGAATAGATGAAAACGTGGCATGTATATAATCAGAATGCTACTTAGCTATAGAAGAAAAATGAAATTATAGCATTTGTAACAACATACGTAGAACTGGAATTCATTATTAAGTGAAAGAAGCCAGGTGCAGAAAGGCAGTTAACACCTTATCTCTTTCCCATGTGGAATCCTAAAATTTGATCTCAGAGCCGTTGAGAGCAGAAGAGTACTGACCAGAGACCTAGGGTATGGAAGAGGATGGAGAGATGAGGAAAATTTAATCAGTGTGCACTACATTATAGTTAGTCCTTGTAGTTAAATAATGAAGTAACTAGTAAGTAATAAGTTATAGTTAGATAGCTGAAAGTTCTGGCATGCTATTACATAGTACAGTGATTATAGATCATATCTCTATACTGTACATTCAAGAAACTAGAGGAAAGAATTTTGAACGTTCTCCCTATAAAAGAATGATAGGTGTTGTTTTTGTCAATGTGTGCTTAAAATAATAATTTCACATATTTATAGGATACTGTGTGATATTTTGAAACATAAAATGTGTGCTGGTCAAATTTAAATGATGGTAGATCCATCACCTCAATCATTCCTGATTTCTTTGCCCTGAGGACACTCCCAGTTCTCTCTTCTGGCTACTTCTGCCTGTACAGTTAGACTTCCCAATACATGTAAGTGTCCTTATTTCCATTCACATCAGGCTACCGAATTCATGACCCATGAGTAGGGACAGGCACTCCTCTCTTATGGAGAGTTCACCTGTGGGTTTGTAATGGTGGTTTCACTTTTCATTGTAGTTGTGGGTGAGAAAGTCAGTCCATGGCACAAACCCAGACTCTTCACGTTGAAGACTTCCCAGGAATGTGTGATAGTTTGAGGAAAAACATAATGGTATCTCATGAAAGGGGTTTGCTAATGGATGACTCCAGTGGAGCCATGAAGACCAAAGCCCAGTGGATTCCACACTTGATCTTAGCCAAAAGGTTGAGAAGTGAGGCAGTAGATTCCAGAAAAATTTCCCCCATTGTTCATAAAATGGACTGTGTTGAGTGACGAGGGAGACCCTGAAGGTGTCTTTTAGTTTGGTTTTGGATTCTACTAAGAAAGTAGTTTCTCCCATTTGCCCTTGGAGAGACCACCATCTGCTGGATATTTTCGGGGTCCAAAACATCCTCAAGTCCTTCCAGAAAAAATAAAACCAGCAAGTATTAAACCTTTTTGCCAAAGGGAGTCCTACTTATGGGTTGCATTATGGAATGGATCCCAAATGTTTTACCGAAATAACCATAAATATCATAATGATCTAATCAGGAATGATGAATTACTACCCAGTGAGGTGACCTAAATAACTGGTGGAATGAATTTATTTTTTCCTTTATGGCACAATGCCCTGTGCACAAAATGTCTACCTCACCTACACAGCCATCCCCCAGAATTACAGAAACAAGGATTTACTGGAGCACTTTCATCAAGGGGAAAACACTCAAGTAATTTTCATGCATTAGAAGTTCCTAGGACAAGGCTATTCTAGAAGTACTTTTGCCCCACGGGCTGGCTTTAAACAAGCCACCTCGGGGACGTGCACACCACTGCCATCTTCTCACTGCAAACACACTTTCCCGTCATCCACAGGCTAGCTGCTGAGGTTTCTGCTCGGGTGGCTTTCTCCCTGAGTTGTTGTGAGCAGCTGCCAGGCCCTCTCCCTGATCCAATCCAACATCGCCGGCTTACAGAGGATGCCACCTCTGTCTGCCCTCCCTGATCACCTGGCTTTTGCCTCGAGGGATGTAGAGATGGCCTGGGCCAGCTGCTCAGAGGGAGTAACAGCACCAGCCTCAGGTACTGTGAGAAGTTGGCAAGGATAAAGCAGAGTGGCCACAGGAGGTGCTCGGTGAGCAGGGGCGGTGCCCTCACCAGGGCAGTGGTTCTTATTGCTGCACAGTCAGTCCCACAATACCTCTGGGTTCGCCTTCTGCAGCACAAGTCCTCATGCTGGCTCTGCAGAGGTACTTAGCACTGAACTGACTTAGTTCCACACCTTTGTATCTCATGCTGCAACCAATTCTGGCATGGAGGAGGGTCTTCCTATACAGCTGTCCATGCAATTTAATTTTAAATCTCACAGTTGAGGAGAAACTGGAGAATTACTGAGGGTGTTGGTTTCACTTATTGCCTGATGAGCAATGTGTAACATGATAGTGGGAAAAGGCTGTATTTTATGAGTAAAGTTATGGTGCTTTCTGCCTCATTCAAACACATATTTTAAGTTGTTCAAGTAGAAAATCAACTGGTATGAAAGCGAAGAGCAGGACTTGGCATATAACAAGCTGTCCATTGTTACTTTAATAAGCGATTTAGGGGAAAAATTAGAAATCTCTTATTAAGAACATTTCAAATGTCCTTCTAAAGTCAGACATGATGATATAAGACATTCATCCTCCTCAGAAGGGTTGTCAGGGTGATGTTCATGAATGTTTTCCTGATCAGCAGAGAGGAGTCACAGTCACATATACAATGCCCATTCTGCTGTGGTGCCAGCCTTCGAAAACAAGGGAAAACCTGATTAAACCTTCCTGCTTCACTTGCTTTTGGCTGACTTCTAAAATCACCACTCTGGGAGGTCATATGGTTAATGTATTCTGGATTTCTGGTATGGTCCTAAAAGCACCGACTTGAGGGAGATATAAAGCACATAATTTTTACAGCACTTTCTCTGGAATCAGAAAGCTGAGGGTTTGATGTAGGCTCCTCCCATTCCCAGGACAGCCAGCCCTGAATTCTTGGTGCTGGGTGGTGGGGGAGGAAGCAGGGGAGAATGTAATGATGGAGCCGACCTGCAGCTGCTTCAAGGACTAAGTGCTTACCTCAGCTTCCCCAATTCCCTTTCTTATCATAATCCCCACCTGTCTTCTCTTCAAGTTTTAAGTGATGATTTATGAACACACTTTAAGATATTTTGAGACAGGATCTACCCTTACACAAGACATGGAGGAATCCCCAGTGTGTGTGGCATGACTAGGAGGAAGCCTCATGCTGTGTGGATCTGTCCAAGGCCTTCTGGGGCCATGAAAACACAGGGGGACACAGCAGGGGTCGAGAGAGCTGGGGTCTGGTGAGAGACTGCAAAGCGGCTAAGGGAATGTTGGCAGGGAAATTACTTTCATGTAGTCCAGCTTTTTAATTTGTTACTTTATGGGCTGTACATTTTTCATCTAGAAAGTAATTGATAGGTCTGATTTCTGGACATGTAATTTTATATTTTTCTAAGACTTCTATGGTTTTTGATGCTTAAATCTGTCATCTATTTTGTGTGTGTGTGTATGTAAATGAGGCTTACATCAAGTTTCTTTTTCTTCTTTTAGAGGCCCACCTCCAGCACCTTTGAGTGCCCATCAACTGATGAAACATAAATAAAATGTGGTGCCTCCATACAAGGGAATATTTTTCAGAAGTAAATCAGGAAGGAAATTCTGGTCTATGCTACAACATGGGTGAGATTTGAAGACATTATGCTAAGGTAACAGAAGCCAGTGATAGACGGTCACATATTATATACTTTCATACAGATGGAATATTTAGAATAAGCAAATTCAGACAGACAAAATGTAAATTTGTGTATACCTGGTGTCTTAGTTACTTTTCTCATCCCTGAAATACCATACCCAGCATCCACAAGTTGAAGGGGTAGAGGTTTATTTCAGCTCACATAATTTTTGAGGTTTCAGTCCTGACTTCCACGTTTCCCTTCAGGCTATACACCTATTGGTGGGGGCCACTCACATCCAAGGGTGGGCCTTCCCAGTATCCATACCAGAACTGTGCTAAACCAGTCAGTGGACTACTTTAGTTATCACACACCCTCATTCTATGCTTACATATGCCAGATCTAAGCCCCTCCAAAAAGCCCCACCTATGAGCACATGAGGCTTTTGAGGGACATCTAGACACAAGCCATAACACCTGGGATTGGGAGTGGAGTTACTGGGAATGGACAGTGACTGTAAATGGACTCTAGAGTCTTTTATGGGAGGATTGAAAATTTCCAAAAATTAGATTTTTTAACAGTGGTACAACTCTGCTCATACTACAGACCCTTATGCTACACTTTAAATGGGAAGACTGTGTATTAATTGAATCATACCTCAATAAAGCTTTAAAAAATCTTACAGAGATTTTGGTAGGAACTAAAACTGCAATTTGGTGAGAGTTGACATTGTTACTACATTAAATCTTCCAATCTATGAACATGGTGTATTTCTCTACTTTTTAAGTCCTATTTAATTCTTTTATAATGCTTGTTCCAGTAAATTTTGTTTATACTAAGGTATTTATTGTACTTGAAGCTATTGTAAATGATACTGTGGTTTTAATCCTGGTTTGTACATTATGCATATTTCTTCTTATTATGTGACTGGCTTTGCTCACCATTTAGTTTTAGGAAGTTGATTTATTTATGTATGTCCTGACCTATTTATTTATAATTCCTTAGGATTTTCTACATAGGTAATCATATTACCTTGAACTGGAAATCAGTTTGGAGATTCCTCAGAAAACTAGGTCTAGAGGTCCCACTCAACCCAGGTATCCCCCTGCTGGGTATTTTCCCAGAAGATCTAAAAACATCATATCACAGCTATATATGTGCACCTATGTTCATAGGAGCACAATTTGTAATTGTAATTTATGGAGACTGTTGTGCACAAGGTCATGAAAGATACTGGTTTGTGTTTTCTTCTCACATAGTTTGGTCTTATTTTGGTCTCATGAAATCTATAAAGAAGTGTTTTCTCCTCTTTTATCTTCTGGAAGAGATAGCATAACACTTATTTTTAAAAGTTTTGGTAGAACTCTTAAGTGTCTTAATCACTGTTCTCATTACTCATACATAAAAGATCATATCACATAAAAGATCATAAAAGATCATATATATATGTGCACCTATGTTCATAGGAGCACAATTTGTAATTGCTAAATTGTGGAAGCAACCCAAATGTCCATCCACCAAGGATTGGATAAGAAAATTGTGGTACTTTTATATAATGGAATATTACACAGCTATAAAGAAAGATAAACTTGAGGCTTTTATAGGTAAATGGTCACAACTAGAGACCATACTCATAAGTGAAATAAATCAGACATGCATGTGCAAGCACCACATTGTTTCACTAGTGTAAAACTGGGAAGAGGTGGGAACTTGAGGTGGTTTGATTTCTTCTTCTCATAGCTCTGTACCTCTTTAGCTTTCTCTTTTCTTCCCTTGCTTTACTTCCTTTACAGTTGAGTAAATGAGAAGAGACTTCCTTGCCTTTATCTCCACCTCAAGGAAAGGTTGTTTGTGTTCACTTCTAAGCATGATGCTAGTGGTAAATTTTTGGTAGATGCTGTTTTTGTGTTAAGTATTTTCCTCTCTACACCTTTGCTGAGAGTTTTCACTAAGAATGGTTCTTAGATTTTGTCTTTTTCATGCATTAGCTGCTGTGATCATGGGACTTTAATTTGTGGGCCTGTTAATATTGTTTGTCATATTGACTGATTTTCAAATGTTGAGTCATAGCTACACAAGATCAATGACAGGAGCTCATAATGTAGTTACTGCTAAGCATGTGCTACTGTTTTATGGAGACTGTTGTGCACAAGGTCATGAAAGATACTGGTTTGTGTTTTCTTCTCACATAGTTTGGTCTTATTTTTGTCTCATGAAATCTATAAAGAAGTGTTTCCTCCTCTTTTATCTTCTGGAAGAGATAGCATAACACTTATTTTTAAAAGTTTTGGTAGAATTCTTAAGAGTCTTAATCACTGTTCTCATTACTGGTACATAATACCCGACAGCTACACATGAAAGTAGGAGAGGTTTATTTTGACTCAGGTTTTTAGTCCACAGTTTGCCTGCTCCAAGGCAGGATGGCCTGGTTGAAGAGCCTGGGCAGGGGAGAGCTGCTCATGGTATAGTGACTAGAAAACAGGGAGGACCCAAGGAGGAAGTCATGACCTTCCTGGTCACTCCCACAGTGACCTCCCCCCTGGCCAGGCCCCTGCAGCTCAGCCATAAGCCCCTGTAATCCAGACACCTTCCAGAAGCCCCACCTAAGATTGCACGAGGCTTTATAGACATCTGGGTATAAGCCTGAGCAGTGAGTGAGGCAACCTGGAGATTTTTAGGAGGCTTTTAAGTTATGAATTCAGTCGCTTTAATTGTATTACAATTGCGATTTTCTGTTTTCTGTTAGTTGGGCTTTCTTGGTTTGTGGTGTTTGAAAGAGTGGTGCCCTACTTCTAAACAGATAATCTTATGAGCGGAAGTCACGAAACTCACTTATTTCACTTGCAGCGGATGCAGATCCTTGGTCCTAGTTCCTCTTTCAGTTCTGACACTGATGACCGTGTCACCTGGGTTTTGTCTTTGTCACGCTTTGTAGAAGTTTAAGAATTTTGTTATTTTTTTGTGAAGAAGCAGGCTTTTCTCTTTTTTTCTTTTAAAGAGAATAGAAAACAATAACAAAATAACAACAACAAAGACAAAAATAAAACAACACAAAAACAATGGAAACGAGCGCCGGGGATATAGCTCAGTGGCACAAGTACCTGCCTGGCAAGCACAAAGTCCTGAGTTCAATTCCCAGTACCAAAAAACAAAACAAGAAAACAATAAAAGTGGCACAGGATTTCAAAACAAAATGATAGGAATTAACAAATGAACAGTGGTTGTTATAGTACATACTCTTATCTTCAAAGAAGTTGCTCAGATTACCGCATGTAAGAATGCAATTGGAATGCAGTGAAAGCAGTGCCAAGAGGGAACTTCTTACTTTTAAATGTTTATCTTAGACAAGAATTAAGATCCAGGGTCAATAATAATAATAATGCTAATAATAATATAAAGTCCCATTTGAAGATATTAGAAAAACAGGAACAAAATTAATATAAATGAAGAAAGAAAGCAATAAAAAATTAAAAATAGGAAAACAAGTGAGAAAATCAATAAGAGAAAAGCCTAAACAAGATGGTAGGAATTCAACAGCGGTTGTTTAAGTTTTTCTTTTATTGATTTTCTCAACTGTTTTCCTATTTTTAATTTTTTGTTACTTCTTTTCTTCATATATTAATTTTGTTCCTGCTTTTCTAATTTCTTCAAATGGGACTTTATATTATTATTAGCATTATTATTATTATTGACCCTGGATCTTAATTATTGTCTAAGATAAACATTTAAAAATAAAAAGTTCTTTTTGGCATGGCTTTCACTACATTCCACATATTTGATATGCTGTATTTTAATTTTATTGTTTTGTGCATTTTTATTTCCTGTAGTTTCTCTCTTTGACTCACAGAGTATCACAAGATTTGGAGATTTTCCTGCTTCCCTTGTGTTACTGATTTCTAGTTTCATTCTTTTCTCTTCAGAGAAGACATAGCCTATATGATTTTTGAGAATGCATACTTGCTGAGGCTGGTTTCTTGGTCACTCATGTCCTATCCAGGTGTATATGCCATAATGCTTGAAAACATCATGTGAGCTCTGCATGCTTCAGGGAGGGTTCTGTGCACATCACTCAGACACCGCTAGTGGATCGTGCCGGCTGGGTGTTCTATAGCCTTGCTGCATACTCTCTACCACACCTGTCAGTCAGTGATGGAAAGCTATTTAAATCCTCCTTATAATTGAAGATTGTGAATTTCTCATTTCATTTTCTTTCTTTCTTTCTTTCCTTTCCTTTTCCTTTTTCCTTTTTTGTTTTCCTTTCCTTTCTTTTTTTTTTTTTTTTTTTTGGTATCAGGAATTGAACTCGCAACCCCGCACTTGTCAGGTAGGTGCTGTGCCGATGAGCTAAACCCCCAGCCCTTTTTTGGTCTTTCTGAGACAGGGTTTTGCTATACAGTTCAGGCTGGCCTTCAACTAAATCTGGAGCCCAGGCTGGCCTCAAACTTGCAACGACCCTCCTGCCTTAACCTCCTGAGTGCTGGGATTACAGGTGTGCACCACCATGCCCAGCTTCTCCTTTCATTTCTGAAACATTTTATTCTCTTGTTTTTGTTTTTTTTTTTTTTTTTTTTTTTTTTCTGGTTTTTCTCCGGTACTGGGAACCGAACTCACGACCTTGCGCTTGCCAGGCAGGCACTTTTGCCGCTGAGCTAAATCCCCAGCCCCATTTTATTCTCTTGTTTTGAGGCACTGGTGTTTGGTACACTCTCATTTAAGAGTAAGTCTTACTGGTGGGTTGATTATTTATTTTAATATTCTTGCAAAGTTCCTGGAATCTGCTATTTGTGTCCTCTTGTGCTTTAAGGTCCTGTCCAGTGCATGATTCTGCATACAGTAAGCAGTTCATTCACTTCACACCTCACTTTCTTTCAAATGGAACCCCCTGGAATCCGATAGACTGAGCAGAGGTCTTGTCCCTGAGCTCTGGATCACCAGAACAATTTGAGAACACAGGGTGCTTCCCACAGTGCCCCAGCTTCAGAAGCTGCCATCGCTGTCTTCCTTCAAAGAAATGGGACTGATGCCCTGTTCAG